GTCGAATCTTCACTATTGATTACGACAAAATACCGCAAATACCTACTCTTGTTTTGTATTTAAGTTCGTTACTTGGTTGGTTGGTTAGGGTCTTTTTAGTTTTGCCATTGTTTTGTTGTTTTGTATGCTGTTTTTTTTCCTCTTTCATTAATGTATATTATAACGTTATAAGAAGAATAAACACAGTGATTGAGTCGATAAATTATTGGCACAATATGCAGGAAAAATTAAGCAAACAAAAAAAACTATCTAGAAAAGCTAAAAAACAAACACAGATAAATAAACACAGTCGAGACAATGTTACAAAACGAGAATTAAAAAAAATAAATAAATAGAGAAAAAGGAAAAAAATGTAGACGTCAGTTCAAAAATCGAAAAATCGATGTCGTGGCAGAGTGAAAACTTTCCGTTGTTTTGAGATATTGGTAAAGTTTATTGTTAATGATTTTCCATTTGTTTGTATACCTTTACATTTTACTGTATGTCCGTTTCATACTGCCCGCTAGATTATAATAAATAAATAAATATTAAAATTATATATTGTAAAAAGGCCGTTCGGAAAGTATCTAGCTGTTTAGAAACTCTCAAATTTCGCGTGACTTTAATCTCCAATCAAATACATTAAAGTGCATGCATTAAAAGTCTCTCTCTCTCGTGAGTTAACGCCGTCAACATTGAAACGTCACTGGATGTGTTGGTATTGTGTGCTACCTTTACATTCACCGTACAGGCAGTTGTCTACAGATATATGAATGATTAAGAACACTTTTGGGGTCATTCAATGACCAAACCTTGGATAATGGTTTGGTACTGGGAATTCCGTCAACAACAGAAAACCCTAAATTGTTGATCGCGTGCCAGCTACAGTCAAAGTAAAACGAAGATTGACATTGTAAAAATCTGCGAATTCTTCGTACTGTGCCGAATGCGTCCAGCCATTTTGTATAGCTTGACTGCACATTCATCACGTTTTGTGTGTGATCTTCTGGCAAAATATTTCATCATCCATCATCAGCCCAAGTACAGTTTGGATTTAATCACGTGATTGAAACTGAAATTTGAAAGGGAAGAAATTTCAAGCTTCAAATAAATTTAAGAGAATGCGATGAAGCAGATGATTCTTCTTCTTCTTCTTTATGTGCCGTGTCCCCCTCAGATGCAGGCGATCATGGCCCTCCACAATTTCCTGTCCTTTCTAGTTCTTAATAATAATTTTGTCTTTTCTCTATTTCTCTAAAACGCTGTTCTTCCATCTACTTACTCAACTTTATTATGTATGTTATGCGTTGTTTTCCTCTGTCCCTCTTGCCTTTAGTCTCTCCTGTGAGTATCAGATTTTCCAAGTCCACTTTCCTCATTATGTGCCCTATAAATTTTAGCTGTCTCTTACTGATTTTAAGTGTAAGTTTCCTTTTTGTTTCCATTTTCTCTAAAACTTCGTCGTTGCTCACATATTCGGTCCATTGGTATCCTCACATTCCTTCTGTAGAACCAAATTCCTGTTGCTACAAGTCTCTGTGAGAAGATTTTCCAGCATTCACTGACATATAGGACGACTGATATCACCTAACAGTTCAATACTCTTTCCTTTGTCTTTACGGTGCCAAAAAAGATTTTGTGGGCTGTTATGAAAAATAGAAGGGATTCTGTGATACATGAGGCCCTGAGAGGAGTACGTTATTGCCCTAGATGTGCCTTTTCTCTTCAGTAGTTGAACTATCACGTCCCTCCACATCTTCCTATCATTGTGTCTCTAAACAATGTTTGTTACTTACTATATCTCCCACTTCCTGTTCTGCCTTTCAATTATGCAAGCTTTTGCAAGTATGTTACGCATTGTTACCCCTTGCCTCTCATCTTCGATATATCTTGTAAGTGTCAAATTCTCCAAACCTGCTGTCATCACTATACGTCCCAAAAAGTTCAACTGTCTATTTCTAAGCAAAAGTTTCTTTTTCATTCCCATTTTCCATAAAATGGTTCAAAATACCTCCGATTGTCATTTGTAGATATAATAACCTGCTTCTGGTAAAAGACCAAGGTATATTGTCGCCTTGGCTGTATATCTAGTTTTGCTCGCAAGATTTTTGTATGGTTTTCAAGCACTTCTCCTCTCTCTAGGCTGATATTATCAGGGCGTCAACACTCTGACAAATCAACCCTAATAAGAGATCAACCTGAATCTCATTATCAGGATACTAACGCTCAAAACAACTCTCTCAACCACCCATAAAACTGTTCAGGAGCCATCGACAGTTGCGCTAGCACCTCGTCACAAGTCATCGTGACCGAGAATTTGAGCCTTGTAGTCTTGTTCGTGAACTGATCACGCCAGATTATGCGCTCTCTCTTTCTCTCTCCCAATAACCTTTCAACATACTTAAAATATAAAATACAGTTGGCTCTGCGGTTATTGAAAAAATATAAATATGTCATAGCAGACGTCTAGCATAGGGATTGTCTAACCATTCTAGCAGACGCCATAGTAGATCGATACTGAAGGACGCTTGCTATTAAATGTAGGGGTGTATTTTAGCCTAGCCTATTTTATACCCGCGCGTATAAACTCGACTTGCTTAACTTTTATACCCACCATATAAAACAGACTAACGTAGAATAACCAGACGTATACTCTGGCATAAACTTCACAGGACATATTAAAGGCAAGAGATATAGGCATTGGTTCCCCTACCTGAAGAGCTTGTCTTAACAGATGGCGGAACGGAGGAAGAAGGTATGGTAAAGGACATACTCTGCTAAGGACTGCAACGGATCGGAAGTTGTGGAAAGCCATAACTGACTACGTCTTGAAGAGATACGGTAGACAGAAGTAGATACTTTGGGATGGGAGTATATTCTGTGTTGTTACATTGGCTTTCGATTGATTATTGTAGTCAAGCTGCGTCGAACCTGGCCGCTTAAGAATATCAGATAAGGTAAACAGCTTGTGGCCTTATGGCAGCTTAAGCTTCTTCTATGCATTGTGTCCATTCGGGGCTACGGCAATCATGTCGTTCCGCAACTTCTTATCCCTTGTGGACCTCAGCAGCGTTTTTCCCTTTGCCAGGACACCCCACACGTTTCGCCATAAGCGTAACTTAGTGAATACTGTGTACAAATGCATACATATATATATATATATATATATATATATATATATATATATATATGTGTGTGTGTGTGTGTGTGTGTGTGTGTGTGGAGAGAGAGAGTAAAATATGATATATAAATTATATATACCAGACTGATGATGAATAAATGAATGACAAAATATCCTGTCTTGTTCTTATTTAGTACTATTCAGTTACTTGTCGATTATGGGACAATAGTATAATGGATTAAAGCGTTGGTTCCTAATTTTAGTGACCTATTAATTGTGAATTCACAACTGGAACGTTTAGTACAGACGTGGACTCGATGGAAACATGGTGGGCAATAAATGAGTAGTACTAAATAACAACTAAACGAGGTATCCTTTGATATGATCAACGGAAATAAGAGCAGTCTATCCCCGTAAAAAGAAAACCGCTATCTATCCTATGCGTTCTCCTAATATGAATTTTTTACTTCCTACTTTCCCCACTCCCGTACAACAACCTCCTTTCAGACCTGTACTGCGTGAACTAATAGTAAATAAAAGAAAATGCTTAAGTTCAAGGCTCCTGAGATTATCCAAATCGACAAACACTTGATGAAGGCCGGTGGACACAGCGGCCGAAACTTTGTGATAATGATAACACAAATAAGGAAAATAGTTGGACTATAAATAATAATTTTCCTTGTATTCTTTCTGAACAAACTTGCTTAATTCACGGATTGTGTAATTCCCTGCCTCGTATTCATTATTATTATTATTATTATTATTATTATTATTATTATTATTCCTTCCGGGTCCTAACCAGAGACCTAAGATCATAAATAGCTTATGAAATTTTCTACTGAAAATTTAGAAAAATACAAAAGATCCCACATATTTCACAGAGATAAAGATCGTCGTAATGTGTGAGCTGTACTTGTATACATAATTATCTATATTTCTTTAAGGCATGGGCTACAAGGAGTCAATCGGGAACATTACAATCAATCCGAAGGCTCCAACTACAACTGAAATTATTGAAGTCATCATGTGCCACATTTTTTAGATTTCCACTTCAAGAACCTTGTATTTTGATAGTTTTATTATTATTATTATTATTATTATTATTATTATTATTATTATTATTATTTTCTTTGGTTTCTGGCGTTTACACATTTCTTTCCGGGTCCCGCCCAGGGACCTAAGGTTAGAAATGGCATCATGACACTTTCCACTGACAAAAAAAAATATCACATAGATAAAGCCCTTCGTAAAGTGTGGGCTGTACTTGTCAGAACAATTTTTTGTATCTCCTTGAGGCATCGACTTCCAGGAATCCCTTCAATTACTCTCAATTAGTCTACTGCAAGCTTTTCCAATCAGTCCTAGGGCTCCAACTACAACAGGGATTGTTGATGTTCCCATATGCCACATTTTCGAGATTTCTATTTCAAGGACCTTGTATTTTGACAGTTTTTTGAATATCTTCAAAGATACATTGCAGTCAGCAGTGTGTATTGTGTAGTCCCATAGAATTGTAACAGGTCCTATCTCCGTAACCGGGTCTGGGTGGTGTTCATACCATTTTATTATTATTATTATTATTATCATTATTATTTCGAGTCTTTGTGTAGGGAAGTCTTTGTGAAGAGAAGGATTGACTGACTGACTGATTAATTGATTTGTTGTTTACGGCTTATCAAACTTTTGCAGCTTATTGAAAGCCAGAAAATATTTTTAAATTGTAAGAAGTTTTTTAGAGATCATTGTTTTCTGGTGAAATTACTACTAATTAACCAATAGCTGTCTCCAAATTAGGTTCGTTATATTTTCTTACGCGCAAATACTCTTGGGAAAGGTATGAATTCTCCCCAAGTGAATATAACAAACCCAAGTTATCCATTACACCATCCGCACATCAAAGCTTACAGCACCTGGTATTCCCAAGGAGTTACCCATCTAGGTACTGACCAGGCTCGACGTTGCTTAACTTTGGTGTTCGTACGTTGGGGCATGAGGTGTTATATGTCTTTATGTTAAGGTTTTTTTGGGGTTTTTTTTCCGGAGGTTTCCAGAAACAGTCTCATATTTGTCATATTTTAATTGGTGTAATTTCCTAAGATATATCAACAAGATGCTTCTCTAAAATCGGATTGTATCTTAACAGAGAGACAATTGATTCTAGAACACCAGCATCCTCAATCGTTATCTAGAAAAAATAGTAGTAGTAGCTTGATCGAAAATAGATACATCGGAGACTGACAGGGCGGCCATAATGCCACTGTTTAACATCCAAGGAATCAGATGACAGACTTCTCCCCCATTACATGCCATTAACGTTGTATCATCTTTTACGTTTTCTATTTGAACATGGGGAAAGATTCTAAGTACAGTAATTTACCTCGGTGTGCTTATAAGATATTTGATGTCTTTTACTTCTTTTCAAGTTTTGCTTTTTCAATTTTCTTTATGATGACATTTTTTGTGTTTTTCTTTAAGTTTTTAGCTTTGATAAAAGGTATTTTGAACAGAAGAAATTTCATTACCCAACCATTTAGAGTGTATTTATTTTTTAAAAGAATTCTCAGAGAAAGAATATAAATATAGAAATCTTTGCTGAATTTTCAGAATAATGGTACTCATATGAGTTCTACAGATGTTAGTCTATAAAATAAGAATCTTCTATGACGTCTTAATTGATTTTGCAATCAATTCTTCATCCTGTTATCTTTTCGAATAATTTTTAGAATAGTGATACGCATATCAGTACTAGAGAAGTAAGTCAATAAAATAAGGTGCATTTATGACGTCTCAATTGATTTTGTAATCAATTTCTCATTTTTCATTTTGTTTGGATATATATATATATTTTCTCTTCTTCGATGTGTCGTGTTACTGCAAGACCTTGGCGATCATTATCTCCACAATTTTCTGTCCTCTATAGCTCTTAAATAGTTAGCATTTGCTCTATCTCGTAACCCTTGTTCTGTCAACCATTTACATAAGTTCTTTAGGTATGTTATTCGTTACTTTTCTCTGTCCCTCTTGCCTTTAATGTGTGTAACGTTTTTAAGCTAACTTTCTTTATTATGTGTACTAGAATTCTCAACCGTCTCTTTCCGATGCTAATATAAGTGTCATTTTTGTTTACATCTTCTATAAATCTTCGTCGTTTTCACATGTTCAACCTATTGTATTTCCAGCATCCTTCTTGAAAACCATCTTTCTATCGCCTCAAGTCTCTTTTTCATCTATAAAGTACAGTATTCAGTGCCATACACAAGGGCCTATATTACATAACAGTTCAGTACCCTTTACTTTCTATTGAGATTTTCCTATTTCGTAATGATTTCCTTAGCTTTTGGAAGTCATGTTTACCTATCCTAATGCGCTTATGGACTTCGGTGTCGAATATTTCGTCCCCTGTTAAAATACTTCCTAGTTATTTCAATTTTTGTACTTGCTTTATTTTGGTGTTTGCAATTTGTAATTCGCATGTTGGAATATACAGTAGCGAGCATAAAGATCGGATGGTAGTGTGGACGACTAGACAGAAGGAGTTTCACGCAGGTGAGAACTTTTCCTCTTTGCAACTGGTCTCTTTCTTTAGGCATCAGCTTAAGGTTAAGATCAGGGCGGGAGGGTGCGTCTCTCCACGTCGAAATTTGGCAAAAGGTGGGTGAAAGTTTCACGCTTGGTGCGAGTGAGAGGTGCTGACCTCGAGTGGTTGTTGGATGCAATTTATGCAAGAGGATTTTGGGACTCGAACCGAAACATCAATCAACCCAGCCTATTTAAGGTAAGATAGGACTTTTTCATTTTCAGTTTTGGCCTCCTCAGGGCTAAATATTTTTCTTTCAACATAGCTGGAGCATGCAAGTACATAAGTCCCGCCTTTTTTGTCCTCCTTTTAGTTACTTGTCTCCACCCCACCCCACTTTTTTAGGTGACAGAAGTCTCTTTTATCTGGATTTCTTTCAACCCAGTTAATCGAGATTTCTGCCACATTTTTACTAATATTGTTTTGTTTAGTTTTTTTTACAAACATATTTTTCATTGTATATAATCATTGGGTTTATGATTTCCCCCCCCCCATCCCTCGATAATTGCGTAAATAAAAATTTCATGCTAGGGCTTTCTCATAGAGAAAATGTGGTATTTTGGTGATTGTGGTGTGACAGCAAGGAGTAAAAGCGTTGTTATGGTGAAAGGAATATTGTAAGTACGAATGGGTCAAAGAATGAGACTAGTTAGTTTTGAGATAGGACAAGAGAAGACCAGTCTTTTCCCCACCCCCATTTTTAGCCCTCATGGCACATTTGTACCTTTTTGGTGAATAAATAATAAGATCAGATCTATTTTCTTCGAATCTTATTTAATTAAAATGTTTTATGAAGCTTTAAAATAAAATGTTATTTCACATTTAGGCTTTTTCTTAACATCGTTATACTCGCTTTTTGCTAATAACCATAAATTATGTCTTACAATTGATTTTTAGTCCTATTTCTTACTTTCTACCTTTTGTATGAGTTCTAGTAGTTTCCTTTCCATGTCTGCTGTCAATTCTGTGTCATCTGCATATCTTATATTGTTAAGATTGTGGCCGCCGTCAAGAATGAAACATGGTAGGACTACTGATTCTCTGAAAATCACCTCGCCGTATAGGTTGAATAAATCTGGTGAGAAGATACATCATTGTCTTACCCTCTATTTTAATGTATTTACTTAATGTTGAAGCTTGGATAAGCATGGAATAATAATACAACACAAAATGTACGTAAACAAAATGTATTGAAACAAGGAAAAGGTACACAATATTTACAGTTAGTTTTGGTATATTCTTGGGAAGACTGTTCCTGCAGAATGGGTTGACTTAATCGCAGTCGGGTAGAGTCTCTAGATTGGATCTCTCTTACTTCTCCCCTCTTCCGGTACCAACCCATATTTATATGGTCGGTACTCCACTATGTAAATTAGGTGGACCGTACCACAACACCCTCCTCCCAAGCCTTGGAATCCCTTTTGGATTTCAAATTTTCTTCCTATATGGGTTGATAATATGGCTATTTCTTTGTAGATCTATTTGCCTAATTTTAATATTTTTTTCGTTTTGGATTCACGTCCAATGGGTCCGTGAACTTCCGTTTCCTACCGGATCTTCTTGGTTCAGGTGTATTCTGTGGAGGTTCTACCTGAAACATATCATACATTATATCAATGGGATCTTCGTCCTCATCCGGTATACACTCTTCTTGCTCTATACCGTAGTCTTTTTTAAGTTGGTTTTGGTGCCTTTTATGAGTATTCTTCGGCCCTTTAATTATGTAAATCAGGTCACCGATTCTCTTGTCCACTATGCCTCGTTCCCAGAACTCAACGTTGTTTTTATAGCACTTGAAAAACACCTTTCTCCGGGAGTGTATCTTTTTTTCTCGCTGTATACATGGTATTTTTTTTACTCTATTTTTTCCTGGCAAAAGCTTGTCAAACACTGACTTAACTTTCCTAGCGAACATTAGTTCAGCTGGTGCCATGTTTGAGTGTGTTCTCTGGTTTGGCGTGATTCTGTATACTTGTAAGAATTGCTGAAGCGCCTTTTCCGTTGGAACTCCTGAGGCTTTCTTCAGAGCTCGCTTTAAAGTATCGACAAATCTTTCTGCGAGTCCATTAGACCTCGGATGATACGGAGGCGTCGTTATGTGGTTAATTTGATATCTCACAAAATTCCTTAAATTCTTCAGAAGTGAATTGTGTACCATTGTCACTCACAATACACTCTGGCACACAGTTGAAAGTTTCCAACGAATTAAATATGATGTTATTAGAATATGAAGAGTTACTTTCATTTGCCTGATTGTTGTTTAATTTCTCCAGTGTTAACTTTTGAATTTCCAAAACCTTGACATACATTTCTTCCTGTTCCCTTTGACGTTGCTGTCTCAGCTCCTCTTGCTTTTCTTGATAATTCTGCTGTGCTAATTGCTGTTCTCTTAATAAGGCAACCTGTTCACTTTGTTGTTGCAGACTCAACTGCTGGGCTTTAAACAATTCAGCTATGACTTTGGATAATTCCTCCATCTTTAGCTGATAGTGTTCATGCAACAAAGAATATACTTTTAATTGTGTATCCACGAATATAATATAAGCAGACAAAAAAAATCGAAACAGCTTACGCCTTTTTTAATTTTATGTCCTGCTTTATAAAATATTGTTGAGCAACCAAACAAAAAAAAAAAATTAAACCAATTTTTTTTTTTTTTTTACAAGTTCGTTACCTTTCAAATCGACACGCTGTATTTGTGCTCCTTTTAATTCCATGCATGTTTTTTTTAGTCGGCCAGCTTCTTTTTTTTTTTTAATTCGCCGTTATTTGTTTACGCCACCTTCCAGATTTTTCTCAGTGAACGTTCCTTTATGCTTAGTCGTCCTTTAACTAGTTTTAACTGTCCAGAACTTCAGAATACTTTTCCGTTCCATTAGATGTTCGACTTTTAATTAATGATTTTTTTTTCTTCAGCCTGGGTTCTTCAAACTTGTCCCAATTGTTGAAGGCTATCAATTATTAATTCTTTTTTTTCCGTAACGTAAAGTTCTTTATACCTCGTCGCCATTGTTGAAGCTTGGATAAGCATGGAATAATAATAATACAACACAAAATGTACGTAAACAAAATGTATTGAAACAAGGAAAAGGTACACAATATTTACAGTTAGTTTTGGTATATTCTTGGGAAGACTGTTCCTGCAGAATGGGTTGACTTAATCGCAGTCGGGCAGAGTCTCTAGATTGGATCTCTCTTACTTCTTCCCTCTTCCGGTACCAACCCATATTTATATGGTCGGTACTCCACTATGTAAATTAGGTGGACCGTACCACAACACTTAATTAATGTTCTGTCCGTATACACGCGGTTTGCTCGCAAGATAGGTTCTGGATTATTCTAATATCCTTCCCAAATATATCAAGGATACCTAGCAGTTCCAAGAACACTATATAAATCAACGGA